GATTGAGGTTAGAAGTCAGGTTGCAAAAGGTTGAGGCATGACTGAGAATAGAGGAAGTGGAGGCAGTGAATACAGATAGCTTTTTCTAGGAGTTTGGCTGAGAAGGGAGAGAGATATAAGATGATAACTTGAGGGAGTGGCAAGGTCTAGTAAAGGTTTTGTTCCTTTTTTTTTTTAAGGATGGGGTAATTTGGGCATGTTTGAAGGCAACAGGGAAGGAATCAATAGATAGGGAGATGTTAAAAATTAGAGAGAGAGGAAGGTGATTGACATTACAATCTTCTGGAGAAGACAAAGAGTAAATTCAAGGGCACATATAGTGCATTTTACAAGCTAGAATCCGAAAAGACCTCCATTGTCTTTTGCATTATTCAGCATTTTTATTCTTCTGAAATAATGGTGTTTCATGGACTTTTATGGTAGCAATAAGTGTTAATTCTTTGAAAGTACTATGCAATTTCCCAATGCAACCCAAATTGGTTTTTTCTACTCTACTCAGGGCTCACCTTGTTGTCCATATACCTAATTTATCCATAATATAAATGCACATGCAGATATTAATGGACTAACTTGATGGGCTTCATTTTCCAGTTGTGTGTTATAGGCTAGAAAAGTGTCCAGTGTAAATAGTGAGACTGCTTACCTTTGCACTGCTATGGATTTCACTGAGGAGGTTTTGTATTGAGGCTCAGTGCAATTGGTACAATGTCATGTCTGAATGGAAACATCTGGAGAATGTTGCCATCAACAGGGAATCCTTTTCTTCTTTGGACTTTGTGTAGAACATTTTCCATGACACCATAGGACATCTAGTTTGGTGTTGCAAAGTGCTGAATATGCTGTTAGAGAACTTGGGTTCAAATCCTTGTTCTGCTATACCTGTGTGATAGTGGGTTGTCACTTGACCTTTCTAGCTCTCAGTTTTCTCATCTATAAAATGAAGGAGTTGGAGTAGATGACTTCTAAGATTCCTTCCAACTCTAAAACTGAGACTCTATGACCTTAGGTAAGTATATGTCTTTATCTCTGTAGTCACATTTATTATAGAGGCATATAATTTTAATTCATTCATGGGAGGCATCTTGTCTGGGAACAGCTTTCAAGATTGCATATTGTTATACCAAGCCAAATGCTTTTAAAAAACCAATAAACACAAAGCATCCTATTATTTTTGTTCTTTGTATCTCTTGTCAGTTGTATGATCATGCACATGTGGTATACTACAGAAAACTGATAGTCAGGAGACACTGAGGAAAGGAAACAGCTTCAAGGAGTATGAGCCCTTGTACCAGAGAAGAATGCTTGCTATGGACTTAAGAAATGACTTCCAATAACAAGAAAGTATTTCCAGTACCAAGAGTTATGAGTTTGCTGCTTTGCTACTGAGCAAGAAGAGATAACTCAGTGGGTCTTTAAAAGGGGAGTGACTCATGCTTAATTGCCTCTTTCTCTTCCTACTTGTGTAGAATAGCAGGGTCATTCAAGATTCTTCCTGTGAGAGTTGGGGGAAGACAGCTCACCATTTTCCCCATTCTGGCTATCATGTAGCCATTAGCATATGGCAGCTAAAGCATATGTCCTCCCTAGGTGAGCCCGAGTTTGGATGTCAACCCCAGCCACTTCTGTTTTATGCTTCTTTCCTGAGTATAGGTAGCTAAAAATTTATCTTAACATGGTTTTGTCCAAGTTTCAAAGTGACTGTGAGTTTGAGAAAACAAGAAGTCCTGATGGAACTGACTGGAAGCCGGGGAAGTTTCTGCATAGGAAAAGATAACTACAGACAAGATAGGGAGCCCAGTCCCTGGTATGGCTAACAAGACATGGACTCTTGTGCGGAGCTGAAGTGAAGTTCAGAAGTGCCTATTTAGCAATCCTCCAATTGCTCTATGCTCTAACAGAGTTTAAATCTCAGCTTCCCAGGAAAGTAAGCAGTAGTTATAAGTTGTTACCAAATCCTGTTTTATGTTCTGTCAATACATGCTTAATTGTGTGCTTGTGTGTTGTGCTTAGCATTTTTTTTAAAACAGGAAATAAATATCTGTTCCATACCTGATTCATATTATACATTGAGTTACTTTTTACTTTCTTCTTAGGAAGAGAGCCTAAATGTGAGCCAAACCTAAGCTTTACGTGATTTTCCTTCTGGGGGTAAGGTGGGGAACATAATGGGCCAAAGAATCATGGAATCATAGAATTTGAGAGTTGAGAGGGACTTGAAAGACTATCTAGTAGAACCCATACTTAAAAGCAATTCCTACTATAACATACCCAACAAGTGGCCATCTAATTTCTGTTTGAAGACTTGCAAAGAAGAGAACCCACCACCTCTCTTTGTAGCTGTTTCCATTTGGACAGCTCCAATTGTTAGGCAATTTTCCCTGACAGTGCCTGCGCATAATAAACACTTAATAAATGGGTGATGAGTTGAACTGAATTGAATATCCAACCTCCCCATGGTAAGGGAAAGAGGATGGGATAAGTAGGATATATCTTCTAGTCCAAATCACAAAACCATCAGTGATGGTTTGTCCAGGGTGGACAGTTTCACCATCCAGGACAGAGGAAAACAAACCAAGCTGTATCTTGTTTTTGCTCCTTACTGGTACCTCCTCAGAAGAGGAGATGAAGTAGGAAACAATGAATGCTCTGGTCAGTGACTAGAGTTTCAAGTGGCTCCTCATAGTTTTGGGATAGTCCTCCAAAACTAAATAATTATTTCTAGGAGAAAAGTATGATTTTCTAATGCTTTATCTTGATCTTGGATCAATTTAAATGGAATTCTGACTGGGTAACGCCAATAAAAAAGTAACAGTGAAATGTGATAGAAACATAAATTCTAGGACAGATGGGAATATTTGATCTGTATTAGGAGAAAAGGGATTTTGTAGGTGAGTCAAGTATAACAAAGGAAGAAAAATGAAAGGGTAAGACTGATTATTATACCAGGCACAATCAGTTGTGAGACTGGATACCTAACCATGCATTCTTCAGGGGTAGAGACAGTCCAACCTGTTATGTCATGGATGTATTGGGGACACAGGATCATAGATAAAGAGCTGACACTGAGTGACCTTGGAGACCATTAATACAATCTCATTTTATAGATAAGGAAACTGCAGCCTGTGGAGGTCAGGCAACTTGCCCAAGTTCATACAGGTAGTAAGCATTAGAGTCAGAATCGAGGAGGAAGAGTAGAATTAAATATTGGAGAGAATGTCTGTAAATTTAAATGTTAAATAAAAGATGTAAATCATACTTAATGAATGTGGAATGCCACAGTGTCCCTCTCCTACTAAGGAGCCTTAGCTGTGTGCTCACAGAGGCTAGGTTTATATCCTGGAAGACACCCCATAGAGGGGAGTCAGGACCTTCTTGAACCCAGACCTGGGAGCTCCCAACCTCTTGAATTCACAAAAGTTGGTCTTAGGCTAAAAATACCCATCTCAGGATCATTGTTCTATCAACTGTGCTTAAGCAAAGAAGCACAAAACAGAAGAGGTAGTCAGGGACCTAAAGTCCAGGCTCAGGCCTGTCCTGAAACACACAGCTGCCATAGATGAGCAGCTGTCATTGCTACCAGGGAAAAGAGAATCTTTCCTCAGCTGGAAGTCTGAGGAAGAGTCCCACTTGGTTGACAGAGAAGAAGACAGTGATAGCATAAATTCTCTCCCTTTTAAAATCTACTGAGTAAGCAGTGATTTTAGGGATAATTCATAGGGTGACCAACCATAGCCCTCTGTACATGTACAAGTGCCTTGTCCATTGGAAAGAACCAGTACATTGTCAGCTGCAGTGGAAGTGCCCAAATCTAGCAGAATGGATGGGAAGGCTTCCTTGACTACCCTTCTCTCTTCTTCTTCTTCTTCTTCTTCTTCTTCTTCTTCTTCTTCTTCTTCTTCTTCTTCTTCTTCTTTCTCTCTCTCTCTCTCTCTCTCTCTCTCTCTCTCTCTCTTACACACACACACACACACACACACACACACACACACACACACACAGAATCAATCAATGGCTATTCCATGGAGTATATGAGGGCATAAACTCATACCTTGGTCATTTGCAGTGACACATTTGTTCTGTCTAGGCTACTTCCCATGGAGTGCTTTGGACTCTTGATGAAGGGCATGTATAACCAAACAGACGCTTCTGATTGGTGCCCATTTGCTGCCCCCTTCCTCACCAGTGATGAAAGTCTTTGTCAAAGAGCCAGTGGGCAGATGAGCTGCCCACTCAAGAGTCAAGTGAGAAGCAATTTTCCCTGACATGCTTTCCTCCTGTCTTCTGAGCATGTGGAGAGTATAATGGGAGTCATGGGTTATTGTATCATGTTTCTTGGTATTTGTCAACATATGTTTATGAGGCTTTTTCTTTTGTAGTGGAGGAAATAAATAGTTGTCTTATGCAGTGAGAACCTTCTAGAGGAGACCCTAGACTTGAGCCATATTTAAGAGTAAGTGATTATTCCTAGAGTTCTATTATATGAGGTAGATAGCAGACAAGGAGAAAAAGCTTAACCTCTCCAAAACAAGCTAGTTTCCCCCAGTTTGCTTGAACCTTTAGCAGGGAACCTTTAGTGGAAGAGTGCTCCAGCACCATGGATCGGTGGGTCTATTATATTGGTAATAGGACTACAGCTTTGGGCATCAGGATTATAAAGAATGCAAGAGCAGAGTCCCTGTTTCTCTGCAAGCTATATGACCTTGTGAACAAATAATTTAATTTCCCTGAGTCTCATTCCTCTTCTGCAAAATGTGGATAATACATGTACAGATTGCCCAACAAGGTTTTTGTGAAGAGCAAATGAGAATCCATGCAAATAGCTTTGCAAGCATAAAGTGTCTTGTAAATATAACTTAGTAGTAGTAGTAGCAGTAACAATAATGATTCATGAACATTTCACAAGTGTATTTTTGCCAGGAAGGCTAGAGCAGGAGAAGGGGGTTGGGGTAGAAGTCACTTTGACTTTCTCCTCCCCTTCCCTTATCCCCAGGGGACTGTGAAGCTGGAGGGCAGCCACAGTCTGCGAGTCAGTCCCTGTCCCTGGCTCCCTCTAGCCTCAGTGTGTCACAACAGCGGAGAAGGCACTGGTGGAGCTGCAAGCTGAGAGGTAGAGAAGCTGTGTCTGCTAAGAGAAGCCCGTGGGAGAAAAGCACTGCAGCTGCTGCCGCCAGGATGGTGAGAGATCCTGGACGCGGGGTCCTGGGAAGTGGGGGGCTGGGAGAAGGTCAAAGGAGAGAGAACTGGCAGTGCCAGGAATAGAAAGGAAAAATGGTTTCCTTGGAGAGTTGAGGTCAGGGGGTAGGTAAGAGTGACATATCCAGGACCCTGAGGGACCAGAGCCGATCAGCAACATTAGGGCAGAACATCGCAGAGAACCCACAGACGCCTTACTTGAAAGGAAAGTGCAGAAAACAGGATAGGATTATCCTGGAGCTGGGGGGTTAGGGAGATCAGAGCCTGAGAGTAGGATTAGTGACAAAGGATCTGGGGGAATCCTGAAGAATCGGGAAAACTTCCATTTAACTCATGTTGGAAGATCCCAGCTGGGTGCAGGTGGTATGTGTGTTTGCCATGAGTGAGGTTGGGGGGAGCAATTTTGGGGAAACAAGATGAGGGCTGCTGACTAGGCGAATGGCCTTGGTGTATATGAATTCACAAGAGTTAGAGCTGGGAGGGATCTTAGAACTTATTTAGGCCAGATCCAGAAAGGTCAAATAACTTTCTGAGGTCACATTGGTTAGGTAGCAGACCTGGAACTCAAACCCAACTATTCTAACTTGAAATCTATTGCTCCTTTAACTCTACACCAATAGAAGGAAAATGTGGCCTCAGTTGGCAACTTTGGATATCTTGATGGCCTCAGAATTTGGAAGTGGGAAGTGAGGCAGCTAGGGTTCCTTCAGTTCTTTTGCCTGGTCCTGCTCCTTGGGTGTAGGGCTGGGGCCAGCAGAAGGCTGTCATGTAGACTTTCAACTTTCCATCTCAGGCTGTCTGGTATAAGGGACCCTCTGCAAATCTCCACATGCCTGAGAGGCTGGGTCAAGATCATTGTGGTATGGGGAAGCTAAGTATCTCACCTTTGTGTATCCCAATACCTTTCTCCACTCCCTAACCTTATTCTCCGCCGGTCTCCCACCAAGAAGAGGAAAATAACAACTGATTCCCTTTCTTCTCTTCCCAAGCTACACACTCAGGGAGCACTCTAATCTTCAATTAAATATCCAATTTTCTGGGGATCCTTCAGAGATCTCCTCTTGTATCACGTTCTAGAATCCCTACACCTTCAGTGAGAACACTTTCCCCTATCCCAGATCCCTGAAATAGGTAGCAAAGTAAACCCATAAAGACTCTTCAAATTTCAGTCCCTGTATGAGATGGTAATTATAGTACTTCTGGCCCTACTACTGCAGGGGAAGGTCAGAGAGAGATGATGGGGGTGGGGAATGGAAGGTAGAAGAACACATGCCCTGCTTAGAGCGGTATTAATTCTCAGCTCCTGCTTTCTGTTCTACTTGTTTATGACCTTCCCTTCTCTCCTCCCCATGTAGTCCTTTCCTAAACCTCTTCCCTGCTCCCTCAGCTACTCTCTTTAGTATTCTGGTCCAGGGAGTACCAGAGCTGTGAACAAAATTATAAATTTCTTAGGGGAAAAGGAGTCCTGTCCTCATAATGGCCAGTTGTGCTCCACTCCTGGAGACCTTAAATGAGACAGGACTCTGACTCAGGAGAAAACTTGTCTTCTCGTCCTGGTTTTGTCACTAATTTACCTGTGTAAGTTTAGGTAAGCTACACAATAGGTCTGTGTTTCCTCTTCTGTAAAAAGAAGGAACAAGTGATCTTAAGATTCCTTTAAGCTTTGGTACTGTAATCTCACATTGAGATAGCACTTTATAAAATTTTCTAAGTGCTTTCTTGAGTACCCAAAGCCTACAAGGAGAGTTCTGAATCTGTCATTGGGGAAAGCACTACAAATACTAAACCTACTGTTATTCATACAAGCTTTACAGCTACATCTCTCTTTATACAATAGGTATGTTAGGGGGTGTTGTGAGGCTCAAATGAGGTAATGGATGTAAGTACTTTGCAAATCTTAAAGCACTACATAAATGCCAGTTATTATTATTATTATTATTATTATTATTATTATTAGTAGTAGTAGTAGTAGTAGTAGTAGTAGTAGTAGTAGTCTCTAGTTACTAGGCTTCCAGTCTGATGATAATTTCATTCCCTCTGCCTTTTACTGCACTATTCCTGAGGTTAAACATTATTTATAGAGCAATACAGGGATGTTCTGGTAAATGTTTAACAACCAGGCTGGGGTGGAATAGGGGAGTAAGCGTACACAGTTTAAAATTTAACATGTATAACACTTCCTTAAGTCAAAACAATAAATCAAGCCCTGATTTTAAGCAATGAACAATTTCTAAAGTGTAAATGCTCATACTGAAAATTTAACAGTTGGCTCTCCAAGCTGGCTAGAGCTGGCTGTAACACATAACTGGATGTGCTCCTGAAAAGTTCTATGCAAATCAGATTTTCTAATGGTATATTTTAAATTCGCCAAGGTAGCTGATTACTTAATAGAAACCTGTGGCTGATTTTTTTAAAGAGGCGTAGGGGTAAGTGAAGGAATTGCCTAGTGTCAAATGAATAATCAAGCAGTCCCTAATGCATGCTGTTTCAAAATTTTTTTTTGTATAGTGAATTTTCTTAAAGTGAAGCATATCTGTCTTGGGCACCTACTGAGTGTACTGATATGCAGTTATTATTATTATTAGTAGTATTGTTATTATTTCCACTCATAATCCTTTCCCTTGATGTATACTGCTGGATTACTGGTAAAAGATGCAAGACTTGGGGATGTATCCCTTGTTGAAGACAGGTTTCACCAAGATTTATTGTTTTTTTTTAAACCTTTCACATTAGTGGGAGTTGTGGTTATTAGATTTAGGTGGTTCTAGGTTAGAAGCTTGTCCAGAAATAGGCAATCCCTTCTGCTATTCTCTAGGCAAACTATATTCAACCTTTCTGGGAGCTGATTGACATTTTATGGGTTGAGGGTCAGAGGTTCTGGCATTCCTGACAGCATACCTCCAAGTATAGACTAAACAGGCTTCAACAAACCCTCACATAGCCTCCTTCAGGCATTGTTCACCCTCTTTCTTATGGTGATGGGGTTACCACTCAATATATTAGACGTGTTTGGGGAGGAAACTCTCCAGTGACCTCAGGGCAATCTGTTTAGGTTGGAGAGCTTTGGCTATGGGATACTTAGTGTCCTTATTAAAGTATCCTATTCCCTTAATAATAAATATAATAATAGTAACTACCAGGAATCCTAACCCATCATCAATGCTGTGAGGGGGAGGCAATGGCAAAATAAAGGAAAGCTACCCAGGGTAATGTACCTGATGTGGTAACTATGAAGGAAGCCTATAATGCCACATAATTGGGCTTGGGGTTAGCACCACAGCCAGTGTGATGAAACTGTCTATAAATCTAAGAAACTCAGCCTCACTCAGGCCAGTCCCCTGGTAATTATGAACAATATTGGAATGAAATGAGACACTTGTAGGTTATTCAACAGTTAACAGAAGAAGATAAATGTAGGCATAGCAGGGGAAGGATATTCAACAAGGATTTTCAGTGAGGACATCAAAAACTGACTCACTTGAGCAAAGCTCTACTGCCCACTGTGGCCCTCCAGACAAGCATCAGAGAGAGGATGAAGCTCCTCATGGTTTTTTGTATTCAGGCGACTGGGAGTGATGTCAACAACCTAAGACTTTAGTTCTCTGAGATAATTGAGTCTCAAGAATGGTTTCAATGTCTTTTAAGGAAAAACCTAGACCACTTGCATGGAGGCAGGGTTGATTAAAATACTGCTCCTCGTGGACAGACTTAGATGAACTGACGAAAAGGAAGTAAGTGGAGCCAGGAAAACAATACACACACAATGAATGCAACAATATAAATGGAAAGAACAACAGCCACAAAAAAAGTCAAAAGTAAATGTTGCAAAATAGTGAAGAACAAGTTTGGTGCCCCAAAAGAGGGATGAGAGGATACCTTACCCATCTCCTTTGCCATGGTGAATGTGTATGTGTGGGGGTGAAGGTGGGGCAGGGTCCTACTGGTATGAACATTGCATACAATGTCAGGTTTTTTTTCCCCCCATGATGTATTGATATAGTTTTGCTGACTTTTTTCTCATTCTTTTTTTTTTGAAAAATTCTTTTAAAAGGGATACAAGAAAAACTGTAGTGATGTAACAATCAAAATATGTCAATAAAAATCGGTTAAAAATAATGTTGCTCCCACCCTACTGGGGACATAGGGCTGCAGACTGGCCCTGCTTGGGACCATTATGATGAGTAGCTTGACATGGAAGACAATGGATCAATTGGTGCTATGTGTACAGGTGCCATAAGAAGGCAAGATATAGCCAAGCAACTCAGAAGTAACAATACTCTAACTAATAGAAATGCTTCAGTGCATTTTGGGCTATCCATTAAAGCAGGCAAACCATGAGTCATATGAAATGACTGAAGTTAGGAAGGTGTTAATTATGTGCCACTATTACATATCAAAATAGGAAACAGATTTTTAGCAGATTTAGGCAAGGACTTCATACTACTTTTTCTCAAAGATATCCTCAGCTCCAAATTACACAACAGTATATTGCATATTGATGAAGGCACTTGTAAGGGGAAAAAAAAGCTTTATTGCTAAACACAGATTAGATGAAATAAAAGTAGAAATGAGAAGTTCCTTAATTCTAAAGAAGGAAGAGCTGAAGATAGAAGGCATTGAAAAACCTACATTTAACACAAACACCAGAAGTGCTACCAAATAATGAAATAGATGGCAAAAAATGAGAGAGGCTTGAATAATTCTGAAAAAATGAATGTACTTAGAGTTTCAAAAAAAAGTCTGTTTTGAATGTGAATCCCTCAAATAGACTAACTATACCAAAACAGATCAATTTAAAAAAGCTGGTATCTGCTGAACTATCACGTTCCACATTATTTGACAATACTTGATAAGCATTATCCCACAACATTGGACAATGAGTAAAAAAAAAATTTCAGAACCTGCACACACAGTATATACTGTGGCTGTTGCCATGGTAAGCATCAGAGGAAGAAAAATAGAATTATCTAGGAAAACTTCTA